GAATAATAGTGAATATTAAGGCCAACTGAAAGCAATTATTCAACGAGATACATGATCAATCAACAAATATTTCTTTTTTTTAAGATTTTATTTATTTAAGAGAGTGAGCAAGAGAGCGAGCGAACGAGCACACACAAGTCGGGGGAGGGAAAAGTAGACTCATGCTGAGCAGGGAGCCTGAAGCAGGGCTCGATCCTAGGACCCTGGGATCATGACCTGAGCCAAAGGCAGACGCCCAACTGACTGAGCCACCCAGGCACCCCTTAACAAATATTTCTTGAGCATCTATTTTTTTTTAATTTTTTTATTGTTATGTTAATCACCATACATTACATCATTAGTTTTTGAGGTAGTGTTCCATGATTCATTGTTTGTGCATAACACCCAGTGCTCCACGCAGAACGTGCCCTCTTTAATACCCATCACCAGGCTAACGCATCCCCCACCCCCCTCCCCTCTAGAAACCTCAGTTTGTTTTTCAGAGTCCATCATCTCTCATGGTTCGTCTCCCCCTCCGACTTACTCCCCTTCATTCTTCCCCTCCTGCTATCTTCTTTTTTTTTCTTAACATATATTGCATTATTTGTTTCAGAAGTACAGATCTGTGATTCAACAGTCTTGCACAATTCACAGCGCTCACCATAGCACATACCCTTCCCAATGTCTATCACCCAGCCACCCCATCCCTCCCACCCCCCACCACTCCAGCAACCCTCAGTTTGTTTCCTGAGGTTAAAAATTCCTCATATCAGCGAGGTCATATGATACATGTCTTTCTCTGATTGACTTATTTCACTCAGCATAACACCCTCCAGTTCCATCCATGTCGTTGCAAATGGCAAGATCTCATTCCTTTTTGATGGCTGCATAATATTCCATTGTGTATATATACCACATCTTCTTTACCCATTCATCTGTCGATGGACATCTTGTCTCTTTCCACAGTTTGGCTATTGTGGACATTGCTGCTATAAACATTGGGGTGCACGTACCCCTTCGGATCCCTACATTTGTATCTTTGGGGTAAATACCCAGTAGTTGAGCATCTATTCTGTGCAAGACACTGTATCTCTGCTAAAAGTCATATGAGTCAGAGGCCCTTCCAATAAGGGGCTAATGACTGAGTTAAAAGGCTAAGACATATTCCTATGAGAAGATAACTGCAAGGTAATCTGCAATCAATGTCAAATGAGTCATATGAACATAATGACCAAGGGGTTTCAGGGGTACAAATGAACAATTCTAATGGATGATCTGGAAGGCTTCCTGGAGAAGGCTGGACTTGTACTAGGTGCTTTCAGTTGGACAGGACTTTGACAGGTTAAAGAAGACAAAGATCATGCTAGACAAAAAAAAAATGGCATGAGCAGGATACCAAGTAGGTGGGCACAATGCTTGTTTGGTAGATCACCTTGCCTGAACTAGAAGACTTGTTTTGGGCAGTAGCCGGGGAAACAAAAAGCTGAAAAGAAGGGACCATGGGATCTCAGAGTTTGAAGGGATCCTAGAAATGATCAAATCCAAGCTTTGCTCACCTTATTCTCACACAAATACAAATTTCCCTAGTGTGAGACCAATGTTTAACATACATTTTAGTAACGGGTCTAGATTCCTAATATCTACAGGCCTTGTAAATGTGGCATAGTAGTTAGAGATAAGCTGTGGAGTTGCAGGCCTGGCTAAACCACTTGCTAGATGTTCACCCTTAGGTTAGTTTGTTAGTTTATTTCTTTATTTCTTCACCTACAAATAGGTGGTGGATAATAGTATACTCACTGAAAATGGAGGTAGGGAGAAAAAGGAGAAAGAGTCCTTGAAGGAGACAGCAGAGGAGGAGGAATTTCCTTCTCTATACACAATAAAGTGTATTGCCAAGGAAGGCTGAAGTAGAGAGAATTCAAGGTAGGGGAGGTTGTTTACAGCATCAAATGAACCAAACAGGTCAAGGTGGTTGAGAGCAGCCAAAAGACCACCAACTTTGACAATCTGGAGGTCACTGGTGACCTTTAAGAAATCAATTTTTGTATAAAAGGAGAGAGGCAGATTGTAGATAAAGATGAGCTAAGAGGGATGGATGGGAGAGGAAGAAAAACAGAAGGTGTGGTGAGGAACTAGAACTACAAAGACCCCTCCTCATTTGCAGTGACAAGAGAGGGAGAAAGATGGCTTTGATTCAAAGGGGTCACAGGGTTCAGTGATATAATGGCTGGATGGGTAGTTCAGCTTAGAACTAAAATGGCTGGTAACTCTTTTAAGGACTTCCAACCCCAGCCTTCCTACTTGCCAAGATGCAGGGGATGGTGATAAAGGAAGAAGGAAGTTCCTACTCACAAAATATCTTCTCTTCCTTTTGTCTAGCACTGCATAGGAAGAAAAATGATTATAAAGCAATCTGCCCATTTATAATACCATAAGATTGCCAGCTGAACAATTATAAGAGACTCCCTATGTAGTAAAACCTCATTAATTTGGACTTCACTTTTTTGGAATTTGTGGTAATTTCACCTCGGCTGGAGTTACAAAGAAAGGGTACTACTTACAAAGAAAGGGTTCACTAGGCACATAGTGTGAAAAAAGATTGCAAGGGAGCTAATTTAGCCTGCCAGGGCCTATTTCACCTATTTAAAGAAAATAGTCTTTTTTAAGAACTTCAGCATATTCATTATTTGAATGCAAATTGATTCTGCTAATTATAGATTAGCATAATCTGCTGCTAAAATCCTATATCTGCAACACTTTGCTCTCACTGAATATGCTCATTAGAAATAAAACTGCAATTCTTTAAAGTTAGTTCACAATTCAGATGAATCCATACCCCCTTTCTCCACCCTCATGAGTTAACTACAGTTCAGGAGGTATTACTCTAAACTCGCACATCACTTATCATGAACACAGTGGAAAAACTAGTAAGTGATCAAAAAAGGCCTCAGAGCAGCCAAAATAGATGTCTTAAAGTTGATGCCCTAAATCCTATACTCTCTCCATAGCAGGTTCTCTTACAGCCGATTTAACTCTTACTTAACGTACTAATCTGACATACCAACTTGGAGCTGGCTGGGTTTTTTTGTTTTTTTTTTTAAAGTTTGTTACTGATTAGAAGGAGAAAAAGGGCTGCTGCATGAAGGGACACTGAGAAACCAGAACTGACTGCAGACTGTAGAAAGGAGACAGGATATATATAAAACATGGCTGTAATAACTTAAAAGCTACCAGAGTCTAGGACATTTTAGAGTAGAGATAAAAGGCCTATATTCCTTAGCAAACCCTGAAAACTATAGTACAGTATTATGGTGCAGTACAATAACTAAAATCTGGAATTCTGCCTCTAAATGATCAAGCAGAGTTGAATACATGTCTTAAAAAGGCAGATACGTTCAAACACACACACAATTTGTATCCATAATGGTTAACCTAAAAATGTGAAATGTGTTGATGCTTAAAAAGATAAAGGTCATAATATTATATAATTATAACAATAGCAACATTTATTAAATAACTACTGTGTGCAGATATCATGCTAAGCACTTTACCTATATAATTGCATTTAAATCCTAAGAAGTGGGTTTTAGTATCATTTCTACTTTACAGCTGAAGAAAGTGAAACTCAGAGAGGTTAAGGAACCACCCCCAGGCCACAGACAGAAACAGAGCTGGGATTAGAACTCACACCAGTTCTTTAGCTATAAACTATGCCTTTCCAATGTTCCAGAAAATATAGCTCTCTAAAAATCACTCTTTTCTTAAGGGCTCCAGATAGCTGTGTCTTACTCTGTTTTTGTTTTCCAAACCTGTATTTGACAAATACCTTGATTTAGAAGCAGAAAGACCTATAATCTAAGAATCAGGTATAATGTTATATGTTTGTAAACATGCTCCATGTTATAAGGTGAATATAAAAGTAATAGTAAAAACAAAAACAGAACAAAACAAAAACATCATGAACGTGTCTGAGGTCCATCCCCAAATCTCAGGTCAGTCTCTACATACTATGGATACTGTTTTCAAATGAATAGCCAAGCAACAAAGAGATATATTTTAAAATGCCAAATGATCAGTTAAGATTTGGTTCTCCTAATGCTTCCCCACTCGTTTTGGAGAAATTTAACCTGAGAATAGGCTAATGGAACATGAAGATAAAGGGGGATTGCGAGGGAGGATAAAAACTCAGTTGGCTGTTATAAATGATTTAGGAAAATCTGCTCATCACCTCTTCAAAGAGAGCTATGAGGGCATAAAATGCATGTGGCAGAGTGCATGCTGCAGGAAACAAGGTGGGGTTGCGGGCTGCAGATATATGTGGTTATCTGCATTACAAGTAAAAGGGTAGCACATCACATGTACAAAGAAAACATACAGTGAAATCATTCATTCATGCAATGCTCTAACTTAAATCAATGCTCTTTATTCATCTTTTTTTGTCTCAAGCCTACTCATTCAAGGGTCAGCTACAAATGTCACTTTTTTTTTTTTTAGAGAGGTGGGGGGAAGGAGAGGGAGAGAGAGAAGGGATAGGGAGAGGGAGAGAGAGAATCTCAAGCAGGCTCCACACCCAGCACAGAGCCTGATGCCGGACTTGATCTCAAAGCTCGCCTTAAGGCTCAATCTCATGACCCCGAGATCATGACCTGAGCTGAAATCAAGAGTTGGACACTTAACGGCCTGAGCCACCCGGGGCCTCTACAAATGTCACTTCTGCTGTGAAATGTTCCACGATGCCCAAGGCTGAATTACACTCTTCCCCGTTTGTGCTCCCATTGGTTTTTTTCCCCCTTTTCCACACTTACCACAGTACCAGTGATACTCTGTCTCATTATTAGGGTTATTCACGTCTGTGTTTTCCCTCTCCTCCCTTTAGCCACCATGAGTTCCTTGAGGGCAGGGGACACTCTCATTTCTGTAGTTCCTACAAGTGCCTGCACAGTGCCAGTCACACACTAGGCTCTGGGAAAATGGTGACTCAACAGCACTGGCTCAAGACAGTGCATTATTGCCTAGCTTACCTGAAGGAGCATTTGTTCTCTTTCTTTTCTTGCTTGACTCCCCTCCATTCTCAATGAGGCCTTCTGTGACCAGAGGGCCACTGGCACTACCAAACTGCAGGGGTTCGTTGTTGTTGGCAGGGTCAAAGGGCAGCTGGTTCAATCCTAAAGAAGAAAAAGAAAGCCAAAATCCAGACTCCATTAAGGACTGGGATGTCTCTAGATAGGAGCCACTAGAGGAAAACTCTCTAAATCTTTAAGAACCTAGGAATAACAGGTGAGTTCCTTAAAGCCAGTTGTCCTGTGTAATTTTTCCAGATTTTGTTAAAGAGTACAGAATTAAAATGTAGGGTCTTGTAAGACTGTGGCTCATCTTTGAGAAGATCCCTGACATTTCTGGGAAATCAACATTTTTGGCCACAAGCTATCAATTATCTTCGGCCTCATTCCTTAAAGAGATAGGACCCTCATTAAGTGTGGCTATGGTTGAACCCACTCTTTGAAAAAGCTTGGTCATGTATTCCTCAGGTTATCTCTCTTTTTTAAAAGATTTTATTTATTTATTTGAGAGAGAGCAAGAGCACAGAGGGAGAACGAGAGGGAGAAGCAGACTCCCCACTGAGCAGAGAGCCTGATGTAGAGATGTGGGGCTTGATCCCAGGACCCTGAGATCATGACCCGAGCCGAAGGCAGACGCTTAACTAACTGAGCCACCCAGGTGCCCCTAATTCTTGAGACAGTGTTGTAAAGGTCAACAAAAGCTTGGAGTCTAGTCAGCTAAAAGTCAATCAAGTTTCAGTAAAATGAATGCTAAGGTTCTAACAAAATGTCTTTACATTATTGTTTTTAGTTAAAAGTATACCCATGCTAATGTTTTCAGCCCACGTAACAAATACCATTTCTTCAGCAATCAGACTTTACTCAGAACACCTCCATTAAATGTCTTCTGGGACTTGTCAAACATTCTTCCTTACATCATCTGAGTAAGTGAAAGAATGAAAACTCACTTCTGTATCTTAAGTCAACTGTTCACTGCATCATATCTATGTTCTATTAAATCCCTACTATGTTTACAACTAAAGAAACAAACATCAATTGCTATGTATTAAAAAACATTCCAATAATGACCAAGACGATTTACAAGGACGAGATTTTAATACAATTTACAAATGATGTTTCTTGCACCTGAGTGGTCCCAGAGTCAAATGTGAGTAGTGTACTATTGCAAAACTTTTCTTGGTATTTCTTTCTGCAGTATTATACTGAACAAAACAAGTTCCATGGAAGATGGAATGGTATCATGGAAACAGTCTGTATTTTGGAGCCTGACAGATTAAGGTTAAAATCCTGGCTGTGTCTTTTACTAGCTGGCAATTTGTGTAATCTCCCTTAGTCTTAGTTTCATAATGTGTAAAAGGGGACTGATAACATTTGTACTGGGTTGTTGGAAAGATAAAAAAGATAAAATATATATATTTAAAGTTATTATTATTCTACTATTCTAAGTGAATTAAAAAAAAACTTTTCTCTGTAAGGTTGTAAACTCTTCTTAGGAGGATCTCCACCCCAACACTCTACCCTCTCTCCCCACCCCCAACTGTATCCCTGGTGCCTATCACCATGCCTGGTACATAGTGAGTGTTGGATGAATTAATTAATACTCAATAGGGAGGGGGTAGGTGACTCATTCTTTTAACCTATGTAGTTAGAGTAAAGACGTGACAGCTGATAATCAAGAATTAATGCCACAACTTAAAAGTTCTGGTGCTGATTATATCAACATTACTTAAAATAATTAGATTTCAAATGCATCTCCATCATTTTTTAAAGATTTTATTTGAGAGAGAGAATTAGAGAGAGAGAGAGCACATGAGAGGGGGGAGGGTCAGAGGGAGAAGCAGACTCTGCTGAGCAGGGAGCCCGATGTGGGACTCGATCCCAGGACTCCAGGATCATGACCTGAGCCAAAGGCAGTCGCTTAACCAACTGAGCCACCCAGGCACCCGCATCTCCATCATTTGAATACTATACTGCAGGATGGTGAAAGCTTGATCAAAAGGAATGCTTAAGGATTAGGAGGTTCTGATTAATGATAGATAATCAGAAAATTTTTTCTTATTTTGCATTTGATAATTTTACAGAATATATTAGTCCATTTCCCTGCCTTAAGTAGATGACCGAAGATCTTACAGAACTTCAGAGCCATAATCTATAAAGGGAAGTTAATAACAGTGCCTAACTCATGGGACTGTTAAAAGGATTAAAATGAAATTATGTATGTGGAACATTCTGCATTACATCTGGCATATAGCAGATACTCAATAAATATTAACTGCCACTACCATAATTTTGAATTTCTATTTCCATTCCATTTCAACTTCTAGAATTGTCGATGTACAATGTGAGGAGAGTGGTCTGAAATTGCTCTGATCCAAGGATAGACCCTACTTCCCTCATTGAATGTTTTCACTGCTGCTTGAAAAGCTGGAGTTCAGGAAAAGAATCTGCTAATTAAAAGTATTCAGTCATAGGGGCGACTGGGTGGCTCAGTTGGTTGGGCAACTGCCTTCGGCTCAGGTCATGATCCTGGAGTCCCGGGATCGAGTCCCGCATCGGGCTCCCTGCTCGGCGG